ACAGGCTGGAACAGGGGCAGCTGTTTTTATGCTTCTTTTATACAAATAGAAATGTTTCTTTTAAAATAACTTTATTTCAACACCAGTATTTTATTTGAAACCCACCTCCCAACTATTAGTTTGATAATCCAAACAACTAATTTGATTAGCATTTGGCATACAAAAAGTGTACATGTTCTAAAAATACGAAATCAGATGTGCAACATTCATAACTTATAACTCTACTTTGCTGAAATGTAACCACTTGTCACCGTTGTAAGTTAACTGTTATATAAATGACAAATCAGATTGCTGTGAGGGGGTACATGCTTTTCTATGTAATATTACTATGCCTTGAAGGTTCTGTAAGGACTGTCACATTCAGAGGTGGGTAATATATTTCCTATAGCAATGATATCACAATATGACATCACATAAACATTTATACCTGTATAATCACGGGCGATATGACAAGGCACGACACTAGTGACATTATAACTTTAAATTGGAGGAAAAGAGAACACCGAGTCACAACCCAGTGACTCAGTATTGGCCAGTGCCCTAAAATGAGGTGTCAAAATTCTTATCTGAAGTGAAAAAGCTGGATCATGTCACACATCTTGTTTGCTGACCACGCGATTTTTACTTGTGGTATTGTTGCAGTACATGTTGGATGTTGTAAATACATTTTACTTTGGCTTATTCAAAAAATATTACGCAACTAACAAAGTATACATTAACCTTCCACTAACCATTCAGTTGTCTTGTTAACAGTTAACAGGTGTGTCTCTTTGAATGGTGGTCCAAGTGTGAAATAATGTTATAGATGATTTTTTTTATAGTAATGTTATTACAGCTTTATAGAAGCTCTTCTAACTTACACTTTTCCCTCACTCATATGGTGGTGATATTATTATAAACTTTTTCCTACATTGCAAAGCCCAGCAGTATATCTTGAGCGCAGTAAAACCCTGACTTGGCTTCTTCTACATCACTTTTCATACCCTTAAGAAATGTTTCCAGAATCAGATTCCCCCTTAGACGAGTCCGTGACTGCAGGCAGTGTGATAAACAACATCAGACCGCTGACCACTGGGTGATGGTATAATGTTCCTACTGACTTTCCTGCAGCCTTGGCTGGCACTGGTTCTCTGTCTGTGCTGGTCCCATTGGATATCATGATCTCATCGCTGTGTGACTGAGTCGCCTCTCTGATCTCATGGGTGTGTTGGAGGGTATTTTTGAGGGGCCCTTCCCCAAGCACACTAGGAGTGGCAGGGCATCTGATATGTGAGCATGAGGCGAAGTGTGTTTGACGGCTCCTTAATGACGTTGTGTATCGCTTGGAATACATACAATATTGTCATACTGTCCATCGCTATGGTGACAGAATAATTTTGAAATCATTCAATTTTGAATTGAATTGTTAAATTGTTTCACTTTACTATAGAACAGAAAAACAATAGCTCTTAGGAGCTGTTGTTTTTTTTTTTGTTTTTTTTTAACCATACAGCCTTTCAGGAAGCTACAGCTCTAGGTTAGAGCTACAGCTCTAACCTCACTGTCTTTTGCTTGCTCTAAGAATGGCACTTTACAGGTTGATCAAGTTTTACAACAACTTACATTCAGGGCATGACAAAGGTTCAAAAAATCTGGCGAGAAAAATGACAAAATTGAAGAACTGCATTCATCTGTGGAGACATGCTCACACATCTGTGTCTGCTACTTTGAAAATCCCTATTGGATATGCAACGTACATCTTACTGTACACTGAAGATAAATCGGTGGGAACTGGAAGAACTTGCTGCTGTAATGTGAGGAACTCAATGCAGGCAACTTAATGTTCATTTGAGGTCAAGTACTGTGAGGACTTTGACAAAGCTCTGTGTTCGTCTTTTCAAGAGTTTGATTGCAAGGAAATGTGGAACACTTTCTTAATCCCTGGGGAATTAAAGAAATATGCATTTAGGGGCTCAAACAATCGGCCAGCGAGTGCACCTCCTGATAAACACTAAACGGTTGAGGAGTTACAGCCCTGAAAGGAAAATAAGATTGAGACGGAATGAATGCCGCAGCTGGGGCTGGAGTGTGTGTGTGTGTGTGTGTGTGTGTGTGTGTGTGTGTGTGTGTGTGTGTGTGTGTGTGTGTGTGTGCCAGTATATGTCTATATCGACTTGTGTGGTTGTGTGTATAAACTGGAGTGCAAAGCATTTTGGAGCAGGGTTTAGTCCACAAAAGCCTTATACAAAAGCAGTCCTACAGTTGGATAATACTGAATGTGTGTGTGAGTGTGTATGTGTTTCAGGGGCCTGAAGCTTTAGGCAGAATAATATCGACCATTTTTTCCTCTTTTACTCTCCAAACCGACTCTCATTTATTCTAATTCATGTCCTTATACCTTGACCATAGCAGCACGTTAAGAAAACACATTTTCTGCATATTTCAACCGTGTTATATAATGTGTAACACTTTTAGAGTTTTTACATGAACTGTAGTCCTTTTGACTCAGACCACCAGATCAGTAAAGTCTTCCACATGTTTTTCTAGTGGGAAAGGAGGAATAATATATTTTATTGTTAATTCCTCAGTGGCACCATAGACCTATAGGTTGCTCATTGTTTTATTTTATTTTATTTTATTTTTTGTGCAGTAGGAATTTGTGAGTCCCACATTTCCAAAAGCGTTTCATCAAGCTGATCTAAATTTAAGTCATTTATAGCTATTTGAGTTGGTTCAGGCAGCCAACAAAGTCAAGCTTGGCCTCAAGTTGCCTAAGTTGCTTTAGTTGCTCACTGTTTTGTTTTCAAGCGATGTCTGACGTAATCAGTGGCAATGAATGTCCTGGCTCAAATACCTGAATACAAGAATATGAATATATATACATAGAAATCATAGATCTGCCTTTGAGTTTTTGCAGTAAGGCCATCAAACCTTTGCTTGTGCTCGACCCAATCTCTCACTGCTTAGTATTTTACTACAGTTGGATTGCTGAGGTCGGGAAATATAACACAAGTCTCCTGGGGCAAGAAACACATGCCGTCACAGAGTCAGTTTTTTAAACTGACTTGGAGTAAAAAACTATAAACTTGTTGTTGTTACTCAATGTCTGACTTCTTGGAATGGTGTTCTGCGCTGGTTCGAGAGCTTTGAGTAGAGTGAGAGTGATGGTGCAAATGGTGAAACCAAGACAAGAACTTGTGATGAAATGTAATTCTAGTTTTGATTTAACTGATAGTTAATCAGTGCATCAAAGCTCTCCATCCAGAACACAACGTGGGTTGTAATACGTTATAATTATCTATTTGAGGTTTCAAGAAAGCGCTTTACAAGTGGCAGATGTCTGGTTGAAAGGTTGTCTGTTTGTATATTTAGCAGCAAAACCTTCGTTAACACGTGCTTTCGAAAAGCATTAGGTGGAAATTCATGTCTGAGTGAACTGCTTGGGTGGGATCTAAGTTTACCATGATCTCCGAGTAGAAACAGTTTTGAATTCCGCACAAAATCTGATCACTTTTACTGGCTGACAAAATGTTTGATGGGGCTTGAGCCAGGTGTTAGGTTTCCATTTTTTCATCATTCAGAGTCATCTGATTGGCCGGTTTGAGTAGCGTTGTGAGGTCTGACCCAAACATCACTATGTGAGGGGAAAATCTGACGGGTTTATACCAGGTTGTGTGTCGTGACTGATCCGTGTGTTAATTCACATGGAGATGTGGTGCCAGGGGAAAAATGACCGTGTTTAAGAGGTGGTGCAAAGACTAGCAAACTCTTGTGTGACTGGTTGTGTATATTTTTGTGAGTTTGCGTGGGTGCACGAGAGGTCCTTCGAGAGTGATTCACTCAGTATGTGAGTGATCCGGGGAGTTTGTCTGTGTCCTCGCTTTTTCGTAGTGCCTAAAATAATGTGAATGTGTTGCTGCAGGGTTTCCATTAATAAATATGTTTCTAATTGCTCCCTTGAATAATCAATTATGAAAAAAAAGCCTCTTCGAATTTCCTAGCACCCACGTTGACATTAAACTGGTTATTTTGTGATCATTTACACTTACAAAAGAGTCACATGGTTGAGAAATTGCAGCCAGGTAATATGTGGAATTTTTGCCCAACAAATGACTATAATCAAAGTGTACATTTGTATGACAGAAACACACAAACACACAAGTTGAACCATTTCCTGTAAAACCTTCACTTATAGTAGCAACAACAAACGAAGGCTGCATTTTTCATTTTAGGCCTTACACTGCAGTTTTAATTTGGAAGATGAGTTAAAGAAACCACGTGATTGTTGGCCTCTATAGCAACTGTGGAATTTGGATGGGAGAGAACAAGCTCAAAATTTACTGCAGGCGTAAAAGCATATTCCATAAACATTGACACACACACCAGCTGTCTTACAGCCTCACCAGACCCACCCCCTTTGGTCAGTGGCCTGTGTCGTGTCTGTCCTGAGTCCGGTCTGAGGATCGCATGGCTGCAGCCTCCACCTGCTCTGCCAATTGGACCTGTCTGTCAGCAGTGGCAGAGCACAGGCACACACTGTGGGGATATGAGCTCAGCGTATACTGGGGGGGGGTCACCCCGGGACTGATGCAAGCTCTCTCACAGGCAGACATGTAAACTTAGCGATATACTTACACTTTCTGCCTTCAGCGTTGACACATTTGACAGCCTTGTGGTTACTTCGGGCACGTGCGTTTGCAAATTTCTCTATACGTACAGCCATCTAAATGCTTACAACAATGTGCACACTCAGGCAAATCTGTTTCAAGCTATTCATTTTGCTGATTATATTCCTGATATGTGAACACGTAAACAGAGATTGTCTTGCCTTATCTATTCAATTGTTTCAGTTTTCCTAACAAAGAAGCCGCGACAATCAATTCATGTCCATCAGTACGATTGCAATGCACTAGATGATGAGTTAGATCTGTTTCAAACCTCTGTAAAATTTCCAGTAACTGGTCCTTGTAATTAAAAAGTAAAATATGTTTTTTTCTCTCTCTCTTTTTGGACCCTTGCAGGAAGAAATGAGTTGATTGCACGATACATCAAACTTCGCACAGGGAAAACGCGGACCAGGAAGCAGGTGAGTTCTCTGCAAATACCATTTGTAGCAGCCTCTATTTTTGAACCCCTTCAGAAAATCCACTCCTGTTGAGTGATGCGCCAACACCCTATACACCCCCCCCCACTGAACCCTCAATCCCTGGAGGGCTGGAGATGATGATTGATTTAGGGCCGTGGCCCAATGCACAGATGCTATAAGATCATGTGTCGGTGTTGTATCTTCACCACCTTGTGGATCTGGTGCTTGTTAGTAGGGAAACGAAGCTGGGGAAAACAGTGGTCTGGATGGGAAACTGAGGCAGGACGTGGAGGGATTTGGAACTCAATCCTCAGTCCGGTATCTGATATGGAAGAACTGATGTATGGGGCTGTGATAGATGTGGAGAGAAAGGGTCTCTGCTAAGTCATCTGTCGGAGACACTGTGGGAATGAAAAGAGATGATTAGAGATGGAAACAGAAGGAGGGGCAGTGGTAGATCAGAGATGAGTAGTAAGACAGGTTGAAGGCAGAGAGGGACACCTGCTGGTTTATCTGTGGCAAACTGACTGCTGTTCTCCAGAACGACTACATAAGACTATAGACCCCATAATTATAGAATTCAAGCGAGAAATGGGATGAAAATGACAGTGTTTCAATAAAAATACATAAAAGCAAATTAGTTATCAATGAGTTTGTTTAACAGGTCATAACTTAAAAACTGAAACTTGAACTAGTGTGTAGTTTGTACACTTTTTACTTATCGTTTTATTAAAGTATATACATTTCAGTTACATGTCTATCACTGTTTTTTTTCTTGTTTTATAGTTTTTGTTTATTAGTGAATGAAGGGAATAAAACATTTGAATCCATGTAAGCATCTCCATGTGGCAGAGGCCCAAAATGCAAAGCATTTATACCACATTGTTGTTAAAGCAGCTACGCACACCAAAGCTCTGCGTTACAAACATACATCCAACTCTTGAGATCTGCTTTTAGACACTGTCTCATGCACCACCGCAGACAGATCAAAACTTCTTTTTTCTTTGACTTCAGTAACACACAGCAGCAGGTTAAACAATTCAGTTAAATCCAATTTCTTTATGTAGCATCAAAATACAACAACAGTCACCTCAAGATGCTTCATATGGTAAAGACCCTAAAATAGTATAGAGAAAACCCCAGTAATCAGATGACCCCCTATGAGCAAGCACTTGGTGACAGTGGGAAGGGAAAAATCATTTTAACAGGAACAACCAGAATCAGAGAGGGACAGCCATCTGCTGCCACCATTTGGTGGTGAAAGGGGGGAAGACAGGACAAAAGACACACTGTGGAGGAGAGCCAGAGATTAATAATAGCTAATTCTATCTCCAAAGTGAGAAAAGGAGCTGTGCACAATTTGAGTAAGTGGCACATTTGTCCTCTGGGGTTTCATTTTGGTCTTACATATCCAAACTGTGTGGTTTTTTGGGGGGTTTTTTTTGTGCACATCAGACAACTGTGCTACGCATGTATTCAGTTCCTACAGTGAGATCATTGGGAAAACATGGATTGTGCTCAGGATTGATCCATCACAACTGTAGCTAAGTTTTAATTATTATTATTATTATTATTTCCTCTAGAGAATCATTATTCTTTAAAAGTGTTCAATTACTGAAGGAATTTCAGTTTTGCACCATAAATGCAGTATCATTTGCAAAAGTGATATTGCTGTGAGTATGAAACCTATCTAATCATTTAAGTATATAAAAAATAAGGCAACAGACAGGTGGTTAAGAAATCTATGTTCAGCCTATAGGTTTACTTTAGATACCACTTTTGCTAAGTGGTATCTTTTCTTTATATGCACACCTGGAATGTCAGAATTCCCGGAAAAAGAAAATAAATGTTGATACTTTTCACCGGGCTTTACAGATTTCAGTGTCCCTCATTTAAAAGGCTGTTTAACCAGAAAGCACTGTACATAAATACATTTTTTTAAACACACCAAGAGAAAACAGGACTGAAAAATAACACATAAAATTTTAGCTGCAACAAATCTTCCCAGGAACAGTCTTTGCAACTCTGAGTATCCCAGAAGAAAAAAGTAACTACTTTAATAAACTCCTAGGCACTAAACTCAGTGGACAATGGTTCACTTTTCTCATAAACCATAAATCTCATAAATCCTAATTTAACCCCTGGATATACCATACATTTCCTATCAAATAACAGGTATCAAATAACAGTGACAACGTGAAAGGGATCACTTATAGTGATGCACATGTGGCTTGAAAACAACTTCAGATGGATGATAATGTTTGTCTCTGACTACTGGACATGTAATAGTAATTAATATTAGTTGACCTTAGGTTTAAATTAACACCGTTTTTTAAAGTTGCTGATCGTCCGTGGATTAGAAAAAGAATAGCTCGTAGTTGCCACGCGGTCAAACATGTACACCTTTGGCCAGAGTTTCCAGTTCACCTGCCTTTGTCTTTTAAACTGTGCGAGGAAGCTCGACCAGTGGGAAAACCATGTAAACAGACCGTTTTTGTGGTTTATTACATTCAGTTGTTTTTGTTGTCTGTGCTTTCCAGGTGTCTAGTCATATCCAGGTTCTAGCTCGACGGAAGGCCAGGGAGATCCAGGTGAAGCTGAAGGTACGCTACGTGAGTCAAACTATTTTTATACATTCTCAAAATGCTTTTGACTATTCAAGATGTTGTTATTATCACTATTACTGCTAGATTTGACTTCAGGCTATAATCAGACCAAAGTATCAGAACTGAGGTGCCGTTAATGCGGTGATATTAATCAGCTTGAGCAGTAACAGATGGAAAAGGGGTGAAAATATAATTACCCTATATTATTTTCTTTCATACTGAAGAAAAAAGCGCTGCCGTTCACATTCCTTTGAAACAAATACACAAATGACCAGCTATCTTAATTGCACCCTCTAATTGGTGCCGGTTTTAAATGCGATGCTGGCACATTTCAGTGAAATGTGAACATGTTTCCCCAAAGCCCGAGGCTTTCTGTGCACGCCTGTGAATATGATGATCCAAACACAGTTTTCAGGAAATATATGAATCCCTGCATTATTACTGCCAGGTATTACATTTATTAAGTGCCACAATAAAAGTGTTCCGAGTGGTACGCTGAGCATTTACACATCCCTGTCCCCCCAGTACTTTCTCAGTTTGCATTTCTCATCCGCATGCGCTCGCATAGTCGCAGTCACAGCAGGCAACAGGACTCTTCCTCGCCTTGGATGGTAGCCACGAGGGTTCAGCTGGCAGGGCTCTGCGCTGGTCACAGGGTTGGCCCCTGTGACAGGCCTTTTTTAAATGCGTCTTTGGTGTAACTGAGATCCCTGCCACATGTACCCCCCATATTTCAGCTATGCCCTTGTGTTAGCCAGTTCTGGGAAGAAGAATGCACCCCGTGGCCTTGCCCATTTGGGCTTGGCGGCAAGTGCTTGTAGTCCTCTGTGGTCTGCGGACTGCTGAAGGAGTGGATTCAAAAACAAGAGCGATATCACTTTACAGTATTCCTCATAGTTTAAACATTTTGTCCTTTATCTCTTTTTAAAAAATCCTTTTTGTGACATTAGAATTTACCAGTTCTGGGATTGTTATGGTAAGCAAATCAAATCAAATCAAATCACTTTTTATTGTCACATCACATGTGCAGGCACACTGGCACAGCACATGCGAGTGAAATTCTTGTGTGCGAGCCCCACAAGCAACAGAGATGTGCAAACACAACAACACAAACGAGCAAAATACAAGAATGGCCAACCTGAAACTAATAAATATATGTACAACATATATCAACATATCACCCCGTTGCCTGCAGTGACTTAAAGTATGACCTCTAACAGAAGCTAGTTGTCATCACTGGCTTGCCCCTGCCAAAGCAATAAACTTAACTCTTGACCTAAAGGTCCTTGACTGTAATATCACCTTCTCTGCAGCTCTCTGACTGGCAGGGATTCACCGATGATGCAAGCTGGCCTCTGCCTTTCATTTCCCCTTTTAGGGCTCTGCTTGTGTTAGTGGAGAAGTAGGACGCAGACTTAAATGGAGTCTGATGAGTGCTGTCCTTTTGCTTTCTACTGTCTGTTTAATCTTACTCTCGCTCTCTCGTCTTCTGTCTCTGTAGGATCAGGCTGCCAAAGACAAGGCCCTCCAGAGCATGGCCACCATGTCATCAGCCCAGATCATATCGCCCACAGCCTTCCAGAACAAGATGGCTCTCCAGGGCCTGTCTCGGCCAGCTTACCCCACTAGTGGTGGGGTGAGTCTTCACGTCTTCCTAAAACCCTGAGCAGTAGCACAGAATCCATCAAGGATTCTGTGGGTTTAATCCAAATGTTTTAAAAATCATATACTCGTACATGTATATCATATTCTGGTAGGCGAGTTATTTGGTGAATTCAGATTGTCTGCTTACAATTTTTACCTTTCAATTGTGAATAAGGAAGCTTGATTTCTTTTAAGAAGCACTTGTCAGCTCAGGCTTACATCTTGAATACATAATAAGCACCTCAGTATGAGGATTACTGGTATGATGCAACAATTTAATGTACTTTCCCTTCTTTCTGTTTTGTAAGTTTTGGCACGGGGCACTTCCAGCACAGCCAGGAAGCCATGAAGAGTAAGTAGTTGCTGTCTATCATTAGTTTCTCATGCTATAAGTTTATTAACCATCAGATAAATTTCACCTGGGGAATTCATCTCAAAGCAAATGAAAACACATCAGTGCAATTATAAAGAAAAGTCTTCAGCTGCCTGACATTCAGCATACCACTCTAGCTCCTGCGTCTTTAGAGGTCAGGTGCTCCAATTAGTAAATGAGAAGGGGTCATGAGGCCAAGACGGTGCATAATGTCTCTCCCCCTCTCTTGTCTGTCTCTTCTCTCCAGCATTAAGCCCTTTTCCCAACAGAGCTATGCCATGCAAGCGTCTGGCCCTGCCCCGATAACAGGTGGGTGTTGACAGAAGGCTGTCGTGTCAGCAAAGTGCCGAGACAACCCAGCTCATCATAAAGAGCTTGCATAATGCTCACACAAATCGCAGCAATTTTTCTGCATTATCAACTTTTACTCAAGTCACAGTCAAACGACACGTTCACATGGTTGCGGCCTTTTCTTCTGCAGTTTATGATAACACACAGGGGCTGTCCATGTCTCCTGGTGCCCCCCCTTGGCAGGGTCGAAGTATTGCCAGCTCCAAGCTGCGAATGCTGGAGTTCTCCGCCTTCCTAGAGCAACCTCAAGACCCGGAGACTGTAAGTAAAGTGGATCCATCAGTGGTTTAGTTAGCGTTATTATTACCATAGTTGAAACAAAGGCTTACTCTTAAAAAATGAAAATGAATAAATAAAAGAATCCTGCTCACTTCATTTACACCTGACAGTGGTCCTTATACCTTGATTAGGAAATATTTTTGTCCTATAAACAAAAGTAAAGCTACAAATTCTGAAGGCAATAAGTAACTTTTCTGCTACTTTTGATTTTATTTTATGGCAAAAGCCGATGTTAAAAGCTAATCTGGCAATTGAAAACTGCATTGAACTATCCAAGTGTGACTGCAACTAAAAAAAGATCATGAGATGATCTCAAAGAATACACACAACACATCAGATGATCAGGAATGTTGCAAGTGGAAAGAAAAAGGGTGGGACCCTTGAGACAGGTGATGGGATATCACAATGAAGGCGATCAAATGTAGCGGCTGGCTTCTTATAACAGATGTCAGATAGCAGCCAACAGAGCTCGGCATTCAGCAAATGAAACATTTGCCATTTCTGGATGCGTTCATTTCCTGATATGCACTTTTGTTTCTCCAGTTCAACAAGCACCTGTTTGTGCATATCGGCCAGTCCAATCCGAGCTACAGCGACCCCTATCTGGAGTCGGTGGACATCAGGCAGATCTATGACAAGTTCCCAGAGAAGAAAGGGGGCCTGAAAGAGCTGTTTGACAAGGGGCCACCCAACGCTTTCTTTCTCGTCAAGTTCTGGGTAAAACATTTCTCTGCATTTGTTTTTTTTTAATCTCTTAATAGTTTTATATGATCTTCCCTTGTTTCTTCCTTCTAAGCTCACTTCGTTTATCTCAAACTAATTTCAGATGAAAACCTCCACTGTAATTTTTTACTCCATATAAAGCCCAGTATGATAGCTGTGTGTGGCATGTTTTATACATCATCATATAATCCTCCTGAAGTCAAGAAGGTGAAGTGAGAGTACAGTGAATGCTCTTGTTAATGTTTTGTACCACCTGTTGGCTGTTAATGGCCTTGCGGTGTTAACTGTGTTGAGATAGCTTAAGCATTGGAGTTAAATGAACTTAAGTGTGATTTAGGGCTAGAATGAATGGAAAGTCATGGCTCCCTGACCCGATTGGTGGTTTATATGACAGCAAAGAAGGCCTTGCTGTCCAACATGCATTTGCCTTGTGCGTATTTGTATATTTGCCTGTGATGTGTGTGTATGTGAGTGTGTGAATGTGTGTGTGTGACAGGAACCTTGGGGAGAGTGGCAGGCCTGATCTTTCACTAGGAGAAATGTGATCCGAGACACCTGTCTCTGCACTATTAGACTGACCAACCCTCATACCCCCTCCTTATATTCTTATTTATAGATAAGCCCCACCAAAAGTGCACACACACACACACACACACACACACACACACAGACACACACACACACACACACACACACAGACAACAACGAATCACTCTCATTACCCCCACCATCACACATTGAGAGTGATTTAGGGAATAAAGCATGATAACAAAGTCAGCATAAGATATAAGCAGACGAATAGATGGTAGTGTGATTCCCGATTATCCACTGGAAATCTGAGGAAACTCCAAGTTGAGGACATAAAAATGGGACAGAGAAGGGAGAAAGAGAGCAAGAGACACAGACATTGACTTTGTTCATTCTTTTGATTTGTTTCTCTGGCCATGTTGCTTTAGTATTTGCCTCACTTCTCCACATAATATCAAATAAAAACACTTTTAAAAGGACCAACTCTGAAGTAAATAAATGACAGAAAATCAAGGATGGACAGCCTCTTTGCCAGTGGCTGTGATAGAGCAGGTCATCTGCTAACCTAAAGGTTGGTGGTTCAATCACTGGTTCCCTGGTTACTCCAGTCAAAGTATTATTGTACAAGATGCTGAACTCCAAGTTGCCCTCCAGTGGATTCATCCAAGATAGGAAAATAGAAAAAAATGTGGTAAATGACGACAGTGTAGAGTAGATAAAACAATCGGTCTATTTACCAGTAAGACTTAGTGAGTTTATAAGAATCCAACAACAATATATAACTTGGCTATGGGCAGACAGTTAAGGCTTATGCATTATTTTAGTGTGTGAAGGGTTGTGTGGGGTTAAATCTATGTGACAAACACATCCAAAGCAGAGGTTTTGCTGTCTGAGACAGACGGCAGTGCTCAGTGTTTCCCACTGATGTTCAATAAACAGATCGGCATCCAACAGTTGCCGAATCTGACACGTTGGGGTGGGGTGGAATTACCTTTAAGCTTAAAATGAGTTGAAAGTACGTTTGAGGAGAAGCGTTGTAAACAGCCATAGGTTTCATACAGCCTTGTGTATACTTTCACCACTTTGCTGTGTTGCTTGCATGTTGATGGCTGAGGCAGAATGGAGGCTGAAGTAACTAAAAACAGTCAAATCTTACTGCTTTAACAAATTACTGAATCGTTTCACACAAAAATATGGCCATGTCAAGGTGACATGGTATATTAAAGCGTTAACTGCTGCTGTGTGACGCCTCCAAAGATGCTGAATGTCAGGTTCAAAGTGCCGCCTTGCATCCGATTCCACCAGATGGCTTCGTATGTATGCCATTACCCTTCTCACATGCTTGACTTACATATTATTTATTGTAGACAGATAAAAGACATTGGTGAGTGGCACCATATTGGAAGTAGTTTACTCCAGGGTTGGGAAGAGCAGCTGGTCGAGCTGTGGCATTTGAATCGGGGGCGAGGGGAAGAAGGGGATGAGTAGCCTCGCCATATATCACTGAAAGAAAAGAGAGCAAGACAGCAATAACGGGCAGGAGGTAGAAATAGAGACACAGAAGGCGTGAACAAGAGATAGGGATAGCAGGAGAAATGCTGGGTGGCATTAACCCAACAAGTCACCAGTGAAATATTACTCTCTTGATTCATGTCAGAGCCTGGTGGAGTCAACAGTTATGACATATCCAACTTGCTAGAGGAAAACAAGCTCATAACACTGTCCCCCCCTCCCCCCAAGCCTGTTCATTTTATCATGTCCCAAGGGGGTCCTCCAATTCTCAAGGCATCCATGACAAAACCCAGAAATGCTGCAAAAACAGCTGGGTATTTCAACAGCTACAGTGGAGAAACCCCCAGAAAAGACGCTCTTGGCCATGAGAATAAGCAAAATGAAATCCTTAACACATCTGAAAATATGATAACCTTATTTAAGCCATTGTAAAAGCTGGAAAGAGGCTATTTGGTATCACTGCAGTCATATAGCCACATAGCAGGTTGTGACTTCGGGGTGTGCTGAGGCGCAGGTTGGCATGGTGATGGTGACAGGCGGCTGACCCGTCTCCAAAGCTATGGTATTCTAGATTGAATTTCCAGCAAACCTCCCTGTCGGCCACTCTCTGCCCTGCTCCTCTCCCCATCTTCCTCTCCTTCACCCCCTCGGCGCCCGTGGCCCTGTCCTAACGGATTGTCTCACGCCTTTGAAGTGCAGAGGGAATCTGATTTGAGCTGGCTCTGCTAAATTGTTACACAGCCAGCCTGCCCACCATGATCTAATCAGCCAATTGCACGCTGCTGATTGTAATTGGATGAATTCCCTCGCAGGCTGTTAGGGAAGCAGGGAATGGCAGTTTGAGGAGGGTCACTAGGCCCCAGGGATGAAGACAAATAGAGGAATTACATGAGCCAGGGATGAAGATGAACGGGGTGATGAAGAGATGAGAGGAGGCTGAGCTGTGTCTCAATGGCCCATTAGGAGACAAGAGCCCGACAGGGGAAAAGGTAAAGCAGCTCAGCTGTCTGACAGAAGAGGCGTCACCTCAGTCTGATCCAAAATCTGATTATGCTCACCTCAGTTCAAACTTGAGCCAGTGGGGGGATTAGAGGTGGGTGAAGCTGCTTCATCTGAGAATAAAGAAAGTTGAATCTAAGCTGCCTTTGAACTTGTGAGGCCATATTCTTCTCATAGAAACGGTTCAGCATTCCAGCACTTTTGGTTCTTGCTTATGACAGATGTCAAAATAGTTTCTTTTTCACAATCTATGCAACTTATCGTCTTGCCTCGGGCTGCTACATGTTATATAGATTTTGTGATTTTTGATTAGAAACACTACAAGTCCAAGATAAATCCAGTGGACGCTTCTTGTAAGTAGAGTGAACACAATGCCACTGGAATGCAAAATCATCTTGCACGCTTATACATACAGTGAGGCAGAGGAATTATATGAGCCATGAAGATGAACGGGGTGATGAAGAGATGAGAGGGGAGCTAGGCGGTACATCTTGGCAATCTTTAGGCTGGATTCGACTTGGGTAAATGAGGATCTGTCCTGTAAGCACTTCTTGGCTTACCAAGGTTACCTCTCAAGCTTTGTTGAGCCGGAGCACCTTTGACGCAGAGATCCATAGGTGTGGAAATTTGTAGATTACAGAGCTGTATGAACTGTTTATCCTCAAGTATGTGAATGTGCAGTGTGGTGCATGGGTAGTGCACACATCTCCATTTAAAGGGGCTGAGGTTTGTAGGTCTTTATACACCACCAAGCTGTTTTAATCACCATGGTTCCCTTTGGCCAAGTATATATTAACACATTATCTCTTTCTTCCTTCCAGGCGGACCTTAGTGTAAACCTGCAGGATGACAGCAGCTTCTTTTATGGTGTGTCCAGCCAGTACGAGAGCTCTGAGAACATGATTATCACCTCATCCACCAAGGTCTGTTCCTTTGGCAAACAGGTGGTGGAGAAAGTTGAGGTAAGAATGCGATACTGGAAGGTGTCAAGTGTCATTTGTTATGTCATCTTTTATTAGAGTATATACACTTATGCTGCCATGTTAATGGAATTTTTGCACTATTTTGCATATGTTTTCGGCACAATTTGTTTTTCTTACTTTTTCCAGCCTATTCATCCAAATGTGCCCATTGGGCAAAGAGTCAGGCTTCCTCTTATTTGTTTGGGGTCCCAGTAGAGATGTTATCTAACAGATGTGGCTAACTTCTTGGCTCGGAGCAATGCCGTCTTCAGAGTTTATTAAAGAGGCCCTTTGAAATATTTATGACATGAGCAGAAATGACATTTTATGATTTTATAGCTGTTCCTTTTATGAGAATTGTTTATGAAAAAAACTCTTGTCGGACCAATAAACGTCATATAACCTGTAATTCTAGCTGCTGTCACTCTGGAAATGTACCCAGCAACAGACTGGGATATCTCTACATGCTAGTCAGGACTGAGAAAAATTAAATTTGCAGCTTTTTTGTTAAATAAGATAGTTATGTTTGAAAGATTTTAATCGCTATTAAAAATGTTCTTATTGAGAAGATGTGAATTTCATCCAAAACTAGATTCAGCTGGAGGAATATTTTTAGTCATCAGTGATTCAATTTTTTTGTTGGTGAGATATGAATATTAAATTAATACATTACAAAATGTGACCACTTAATTTTTAAGCAACATTTATTAGTCAGCCATTTTTTTCCTGTAAATATCATTTTTTAGTTTAGCTGCTTTACAAAACTGACACCTTCCACTTTTCCCATTTATCGGCAGTAACGTATATATTTGGCTCCAATTCAGGAAGTTTGCGTCACCGATTGAATGATGGAGGAGTGATGTTACGACATAAAGAGGTCATGACCACATCAAAAGCCACACTTATCACACTGGGGAGTGAATAACCCCCACCGCAGATTCCAGTCAGTTACTGCTGATCTGTGGTCTGTAAACTGACGCGATTCACAAATTTCCCCAATATGAATAACTGTTATGTTTCCCGTTAACCGTACACAATAGCCGCCCCGCCCCCACTCGCTGCTGATGGATTGTACAATATAAGCACATACACACATATCCCTAGGTAGAGCCATCTGCCTCAATCGGCCACATGATGATATTTAATGGCTTCATTATTTGATTACGGTTGTCACAAGAAATATGTTTATTGTCATATCTGGCATGCCATATGCCGCATTAGGTATATTATATTACAAACAATACTGCTTATCACATACAGTAGACCTAGACGTTCATATCCAATGCATCCATTTGAGTTTCAGTGGCCTATGTATCCCTGCGTTTTTGCAACAGATTTCACATTTCAGCCATACATTTTTAAATTCTCTTTCAGTGTGATATATGTTCGCAGATATTAAACTTCACTCGTATGTGTCTGTTCCCCTAGACGGAGTACGCGCGTTTCGAAAATGGACGCTATGTGTTTCGGATCCACCGCTCTCCGTTGTGCGAATACATGATCAACTTTATCCACAAGCTTAAACACCTGCCGGAGAAGTACATGATGAACAGCGTACTGGAAAACTTCACTATCTTACAGGTACCAACTTTCAAATCTGTGTAGTACGTATAAAACTGCAGCTTACCTTTCCCCAGGCTGTTAATGACAAGAAATAAGCTTCTTCTCTTAAGCTGCACTGATATCATATAGTTTGGACTCAAATTATGAGCAGCAGAGTGGGGTCGAAGTATTTCACATCACAACTCAGAAACTAGACTCAAAATAAACAGTTTAGCCAGCTAGTAAATACTAATGGAGAATACAAAACTATAATCACTTGTTTTCATAAAATCATATATTTCCACACTACTTCACCCTGGATTCACTTGCTAACTAATTACAAATATGCAACAACAGAAAATAAATTTTGGTTTTGTTTGAGTCGTAATTTAGGCATCTAAATTCTTTTTGTTTTAGTCTAGTTTTAGTTGAATAAATCAAATCAAGCGATTATCCAGCTGACTAAAGTATAAAGTGTAAAAGTTTTGGTCCACACAGTCAGTCTTCTTTTAAGGGTCTTATTTTCAATATCAAATGCAACCTGTTTCTATTCTTATCTTTCTCCCAAGCATTGACATTTTGTCATGTTTTTGTGAGAAACAAGGAGCTTGGAAGCAACTGTTACCCCCCCCCAACCAAAATAAATAAATAAATAAAAAGGTGTACTGTTACTGGGGGAAGATAAAATGTGCATGTCTAACCATAGGTGATTAGTTCTGATTGGATAACTTCCAAATTTGTCCCACCTTTCTACACAACTTAATTAGTTGGATCTCATCTCTCCAGAATATTTTCATCTTATTATTTGTTGACAAGCGTGTTAATACTTGTCATCATAGTTTTTGTCCTCCTGCGTTGGTTTTTATTCAGTCATGGTCTTATTGTCATTGGAAAAAAGGCTATTGACAAAAACTCTACATATATATATATATATATATATATATATATATACATATATAGGCACCTTTTCTCAAATTTAGAGTTCTTTTTGTAGACTTCACCCTGCTTTGTAGCCGGTGTGAAACAGGAAATCCGTGGTCTTCAGCTAAGTACTGCTGTGGTATTTCAATTGGTTAACCATGACAGACCAGAAACAGCTGGAACCATTTTAATTTTATGCCTTCTAGTTGGACTTTTCTGAATGAGCCGGTGTGCTCCTCAGTGGATAGTGGGGTGTATTGTCATAGTAACCAGAGGGGCCTAAAAGACAGGGTTTTTAAAAATGTGTTTCTTCTATTGGAGGCTCCATTCCTACACTCCTAGCAAAGGCACAATGACCATATTGAGCCCACACTGATGACTACATGGCAGCATGTCATTAGGCTTCTCAATGGAGTTATTTAGCTCATATGAACCACAAACGTCTCATACACAGATGTTCACATACATATAGATGACAATACACACAGACAATGCTGCAGGGCTGAGCACAATGATGTGACAAAAGTTGCTTTCAGTGCAACGTTGTTAAACATAAGGAGTTTTTTTTCCTGTCATGTTATGCATGTTGCCTTTCCATGAATGCCAAGCAGTACTTTAGATACATATCAGCCTTATGTATAGAATAGCACCATTTCAGCCAAGGGATTGTGTGTCCAGTTACTCATTATTAGTGTGTATGTGTCAGTAATTAGTCAGTATATTTAACTAATGAACCGGCCAGGGAGACTAGTTAGGGTTAGGTGTCTAGGCTCTAAGCTCATCACTCCACATGAATGTGCTACATTTAAAACTGGGAAGCGATAAGTAAATACGCCCTATCCACCATCCCCACAGCCTAAAGGTTGATGCTGGGCTGGTGGAGAGGTTGAAACGGCGAGCACTGATGAAGGGAACTGGTGGCAATGTGATGTCCAAGTGAGCATCGGGAAACTTTACTGCTTAAATCAACTGCCAAATTGGGAGGGTGTATTCGGTATCGGCGTGAGAAGAGGGAGGCATGTTACGTGGGTATGACGCAGTGGAGCTCGAGTTGCCTGCCTAAACTAGCTGGCAGGCTCACTTCATTAGTGATGTAGCAGAAAGCCACGGCTCTGCCAGAACCACAAAAAAAAATAAAATAAGAAGAAGCTATAAAAATCGGTGTTATCCAAACTGTGGGTAAATTTACATTGTAAGTAAAAACACGACAAACGAAGCTTCACAATATGACACCAGTTTGTGTTTGTCTACAGGTGGTGACTAACAGGGACACACTGGAGACCCTGCTGTGCATAGCCTACGTCTTCGAGGTGTCCACTAGCGAGCACGGAGCGCAGCATCATATTTACAGGCTAGTCAAAGACTGACACGGCCTCTCACTCTGAACTTACCAGTTCTAGACCCATTGTAGCACACCGGTGAGCAACAACACTAAACAATAGACTACTTCCTCTACAAGATGAATTCATACGAGGCGGTCGGGAGCCTGGAGAAGCACAGGCTGTGACGGTTTGTGCAGGAACACAACTACTGCTGAACAAGAGTTAGATTTGGGACTGTGGAAGTTGAAACTGGCTGTGTGTGAAGAGGAGGACCACTGTGTACACTGTGGTTTCTATGCCAAAGGAGCCAAACATAGCTAAGAAGACCTGCATGAGAGAGTTGTAATTGGTGGTGTTTTTTTCCATCTCATTTTTACTAGCGCTTGTTTTTAATTTAGATTCTTTTACACACATGCATGTGCAGGGGATGTTTGTGACAGAGAAGTCTGGCTGCCTCAGGGTGCCATCTAGTGACTTAAATATAAATATATATAAAAATGGGAAAAATAATAAAAGTATACTGAGAATCCCTTATTTGCACATCCGAAAGAAAAAAAATCACTGTTTTTTTGTGCCAATGTTTTGCGATTATGTACAGTGCCACAACCTTCTCTTAACAGAGTTACGTTGACAGGTGGCTAAAACGATTTAAAAGAACTTGTATTCACTTTGTTTGATGTTGAATGTTGAATGTCTTACTGTTTTTTGATTGAAAACTGTCTGACTGCAACAAAAGGCACATAATAACACTGCTAACTTGAACCAGATTTGGACTTGTAAGCCGATTATCGAAGTTGTCTGCATCTGTAACTTGCCCTGAGGTGTCACATGAAAATACAAGTGTTTCTTACATAAGTCCTCGCTGGTTTTGTAGTATTTCCACTAACTGCTACACGCTGCATAAACGTGTTTAGGAGAATTATAAAATGTGCAGGATTTGACAGAGCTGTCAGAGAGACTTTCCTTTGACAGCTTTTTACAGCTTTCCCAGTATGTTGTGTGCACACTGGAAAGGTGATAAAATAAATATATTGAAAGTTTAAAGTGTGCATAGTAAATCAGTTTACTTTTGGAAGGTGTTGTTGATGAGCACCATACTGTTCTATAGTGGATGAACAGCCTCATGCTGAAGAAAGTCAAAACTAATTGCAGATGGCAGTGCTTTTGCTCCAGTGAGGCCCCGGAAACCAAAAAGTAAGTATTTAAGGGTGCAGATTAAAATGACTGATTAACCTGTTGGTCGTTAATTTTCTCTGATTGTTAATGTAGAGAGGATTGTGTAAGCAAATCATCACATTTAAGAGGCTAAAGTAAAAAATAATTTCAGCTATTTTTGCTAAATAGCTGACCAAAATCATGAATTAGTTATCAACATAAATGTGTAACAACATTTTACTTTCTCTTAGTGGGTTTTTTGGTGGGCAGTGTCACTACATGCTCACAGTTTTAATCACATCCACGTATGCATCCGATATTTTATATTTAAAAAAAAAGAACTACTACAGCAAGCGCAGAGAATACACTTTTTTAATGTAGTAGAGACACAGATGTTGTTAACAGTAGTGACGATTGCCATCTAGTGGTGTTTTGGCAACATTACACTTTGTTAGTTTGATTTAACTTGGTAGGTTAGAATCGGTGTAAGAAGAAGTGTAGAAGCAAATCACAAATGTAGTATTTCAAGGCGCCATATTTTGTATTGTAAGAAACCTTACACATCATACTCCGATGCTCATGTGACTTTATTAATATGTGAACTCGCACTTACAACTTCTTATCCAGTCCATGGTAACAGGGAGCTGGAGCCTGTCCCAGCAATCATAGTGCGAAAGACAAAGTACAGTTCAACGGGGTTAAACCAAACCTTCTTTTTATTATTTTATTATTTATTTTTTAAAAAAATCCACTTGATTGCTTCTATTTTTAAATCACTCTATCAACTTTAGTCTGCTATGGTATTTGTTAGAGCTGCATTATGCTACAGAGAGTGCATAGTTAAAAATAAATACACAAATAAATAAACACTGGCATACTTTGTGGTAAAATATAAAGTACGTACATTTTAAAGGGGGTAACAGATAATACAGATATGTCTTTTGGTGCCATTATTCTGGTAATGTCATTTGACCGACCTAACCCGTAAGAGCCCAGACCGGTCAGAAAAACTACGGGAGAGTCAATGGCTGTGTCCCAATTCAGGGTCTGCACGCTTGAAGTACGCATTTTAAGTGCGGTTACGTCACCGCCACGCGACGACGGCTGTCCCAATTCGAAGTGTGCTTCAAATGCATACTCCAAATGCGCCGTCGATTTCCCCAAATATCAAGCGTGGTCCGGTGCACGCTTCGTGGTCCCATATATCCCACAATTCATAGCGCGGCGGTGGGTGGAGCGGCTGAAGAGGTTTTTTCTTTTTTTTTCAAAACTTTTTTGAAATTATAAAGCGAACAGTCAGTCATTCCAGTTCAGTTTGTACAGTAGACATACAAGGCAAATAAGAGTAACAATATACAGTACAATGAAATAAGAAGGATAAATAAATAAAGGATAAAAAAGAAAAAAAGAAAAAAAAAAGGGGGGGAGTGACAGACTTCATAACAACTTTGTACTTGAAAGTTGTGACAGCTCATTCGTTAAACATTTCTGAATGAATTTCAATCAATGTTAAACCTTTTATATTGGAAGTTAATTTAAGAGAGTTCGAGTAATATTCAATTTCAATCAAAAACAAATTAAATGATGGGGTTGAGTCTTGAAATTGACATTTATGTATATGGAATTTCCCTAATAAGATGGAGCGGCTGAAGAGTGAACTGTCAAAAGTACTGAATATGACGTCACTTATTTATGTGCGAATGTTTAATAATTAAAGTCAGTCATATATCCACAAACACAACAAGCTGAAAGTCATATATATATATATATATATATATATATATATATATATATATATATATATATGTATATATATATATATATATATATATGTATGTATATATATATATATATATATATGTATATATGTATGTATATATATATATACATATATATCATATATATCTATATCTATATATATATACGTATATATATATGTATATACGTATATATATATGTATATACGTATATATATATATATATACGTATATGTATATACGTATATATATATATATACGTATATATATATATATATACGTATATGTATATACGTATATATATATATATATATACGTATATGTATATACGTATATATATATATATATATATATACGTATATATATACGTATATATATATACGTATATATATATATGTATATATATATATATATATATATATATATATATATATACATATATATACCATCAAGTGCGGGATCTACCAAGGAGATGCTCTGTCCCCACTGCTGTTCTGCATAGGCCTGAACCCCCTCAGTGAGATCATTAACAAGACTGGCTACGGATACCGACTACGGAACGGAGCAGTTGTCAGCCACCTCCTGTACATGGATGACATCAAGCTGTATGCCAAGAGTGAACGAGACATCGATTCACTGATCCACACTACCAGGCTATACAGCAATGACATTGGAATGTCGTTCGGACTGGAGAAGTGTAGTCGGATGGTAACAAAGAGAGGGAAGGTAGTCAGAACTGAGGGGATTGAACTACCAGAAGG